TGTTTGCCCATGTATTATTGAAGCTGAAGTAGTCATAGACAGGTAGAACATTTTCCTGGGCAGGGCAGATTCAGGTTTAGCTTCCCCCCCCCCCCCTCCCCATTCATACCTGTGGCATTTTGTAGAGGCTCATCATGGTGGAAATCTGCTCAGAAATGTCAGATTCAACCCCTTCAATCACAGCCAGCAGCCTCTTCTCTCTTCCACAAATGTAGTTTGGAACATTTGCCTGTCCAGTGGAGAGCAAGTCTGCCAGGGCTTCGGCGGTCATTCTTGGATGATAATAGTTCTCGTAAATGTCATAGCCCAGGGTGACATTGGGCCAAACCTGGGGATCCTGGTTAATCTCACGGATAGCAAAAAGAAAGGAGAGAAGGAACCAGTATGTAGTAAATCCTTTCCTGCATAAAGCAACAAAACAACGACACACTTTAATATTCATTCGGTGTTTGAGCACGGCAGTCCCCAACCTTTGGGGCACCAAGGACAAGTTTTGTTTTTGATGGAGTGGTAAAGGACTGTGGTTTCACGCTCTACCTAGATCCCACACATTTGCAGATGAAGTTTCGCTATGGAATAGAAACCTGGGTGGGCCAGGAGAGTCCACCTCGGAAGCAGAAGAGAAATTTCTTCTACAGGGAATCATTCTTGGTGGAGTGGAACATTGGATATTCTTGAAAGCCATTCCCAAGCAAAATGGTACAAAACCCACCAAATGGATCTACTTACAAAATAGGCTGGTTAAAGAGAAACTGATCAAATTTTTCTTGAACAATCATTCCTGGTCTTGGAGGCACAATCCCGCCAAGGAAAAAATCCCCGGGATGATAATAATTGTGCACTGTATCCTGATCCTTGGTGAAGTCAAGGGGACATTTTCTCCCATTGACTCTGCTGGGCAGAAGTAGCAGAAGCAACAACAGGAGGAGGACCTCTGTCCTTGTGGCAAAACCTCGGAGCATTTCAGGAAACAGAGTTCTCTCCAAAACAGATAGAATGCAACCACAGCTTTACAGGCAAGGCATGAGCTCACATCTTGGCATCCTCTCCAAATCTCCATCCAAACACATTGACTCCAGAGAAAGCATTTGTTTGGACATCAGGCAAGAGTCAAGAAGATTTTGCATCAGGCTGCTCAGGGATTCAGGGACGACGGTTGGGCAAAATCCCTTGAAATCTGGAGGAGTGGCAGGACCATGATTTTCACAGCTATATAGCACCAGGGGCTCCAGGAGCAGGTGCAAGGGTGGAGACCTGGTCTAAAATCAACACAAGACAGGCATGGGTTCCTGATGTTTCTGAATTTTCCATGAACCTTGACAACTTGAAGATCTGTTGTTTTAGGACCTTTTGGTACCATTACATGAGATGGATTTCCAATCGTTGTTCAGAGAAAACCATATTTTGTGAACATCTCTGCATCCATGTAGGTCAGAGGTGTCAAACTCAAGGCTCAGGTGCCGAATCCACCCTGCGGGGTGCTTAGATCTGGCCCATGAGGCTACCGTGAAAACAGCAAAGGACTGGCCCATGGTGCTTCTGCCAGAGAAAACAGAGCTCAGGGAGGTCACACAAGCCCCCTCCTCAGACACCATTTTTGGCCATGACAATCTCCTGCAGCCCTCTGCCAGTGAAAATGGAGACCCGGGGAGGTCGTGTGCTCCATTTTCACTGGCAGAGAACTGCAGGAAGCCATTGCCATTAAAAATAGAGCCTCAGCAAGTGCCGTTGAACTGGCCAGCCCCCCCTTCTCCTGAGATCAAACAAAACCCTGATGCAGTCCTCAATGAAATTGAGTTTGACACTCCTGATTTAGGCAAATCTGATCTTCTCTGAAGCAAAGTTAAGTTTTCCCAAAGCCAAGGGCACTTTTGGACACAAGTAAAAATCCAGGCGATCCCCCTCAAGTTCGTTTACCTTTGGAAGTCTCCTGCTCTAGGGAGAAACATCTCTGGTGACTTAATCTCAGCCTCACAATGAAGAATTTGTCCAGTTCTTCTCTGTGACCTTAAAGGTCATCCACATCCCATGTATTTATTTAGATAGCTGAATTTAGGTTTCATATAAAGGTAGCACATATATGCTAGATATTTCTAACTCTAGAGGACGTTGCTCATCTCCTTTTTAAAGCTAAAGAGCCAGCACTGTCTGAAGATGTCTCCATGGTCATGTGGCTGGCATTACTAAATGACAAAGGTGCACTACTACCTTTCCACCAAAGATGGTCTCTATTTTTCTAATTGCATTTTTACATGCTTTCAAACTGCTAGGTTGGCAGAAGCTGGGACAAGTAACGGGAGCTCACCCTGTTATGCAGCACTAGGGATTCGAACTGCTGAACTGCTGACTTTTCTGATCGGCAAGCTCAGTATCTTGGCCACTGAGCCACCACGTCTTTATACAACTATAAAAATACAACTTTATGTAGCCATAAAAATAGTTCCTGACCATCTTTTCCACACAATGATTTGATACCATGATAGGTGGATATTCAAAGGTGGATGGCGGTGGGATTTTCAAAGAATGTGTTTATGGTGATCTATTCAGGTCCCGTTGGCTCCAGAGGTGTGCTGTGAAACTAAATTCTTTCTCTGAACATAATATCTGGCGATTATAATAATTCTTTTGCAGTACTTATACACCTGAGAGGATCGTGTACAGCAAATTCCTTTTTTTTTTTGCATTTGCATGAATCTGGGAGACCACCAGTTGGCAGCCAAGAGTGAGTAAACAGATGAACTGTTTGCTGCCATCTAGTGGTTGATAGTTGGTTAGGATGAAAAATGAGAAAAAACTAGCAGCTTAAATAAATGATTGGATGGAATAGCTGGAGCATACAAGTGTTGTGCTTGGTGGCAGCTTCTCCTATGATTGTGATATTTCACCAAGGGTGGGGGTGTCACAATACGTCACTTGACGACAACGTGATGTGGCAGGTTTGGCACCCATAACTTCATGTTATGAGCCAGTTACACCACTATTGGAATCATGAGACCTGCTGACAATCATCTCTCAACTGGATTACTGCAATGTGCTCTACATGAGGCTACCCTTGATGATATTCAGAAGGTACAGCTCTCGCAGAATGCATCAGTGGGCACAATTTGGGACAGGGGGCTAGGATGGCCTGTGATGTGAGCTGCATTGGTTATCAGTTTGCTTCCTTTAAACCCCTATATGGCATGGGTTTGGGTTAACTGAGAAGCCGTTTCCAGAGGTGGGCTGCTGGGGGGTTACAGGGGTTTGGGAGAACCTCTAGATAAGATTCTGTGCAGTTAGGAGAACCCCCAAATCTCACTCCTTGCTGGCCCCCACCTCCTTTCCAGGAGTCCCCATGCAGCCCCTTTTGGATGCAGGTAAATGCAAGGCATGTGCAGAGGCTTGGAGAGGACAAAAAACAGGCCTACCAGAAATTCGGGAAGGCTGGAAACAGGCCCATTTCTGGCCTCCAGAGGGCCTCCTGGAGGAAAGCTTCTGAAGCCCAGGGAGGGCAAACACACCCCACGCCCACCATGGTGCAGGAGGCTGACTAGGCTACGCCCACCATGGCCATGCTGACCCAGCAACCGGGCAGATAACCCCTTGCTAAATTTTTTGAAGCCCACCCCTGGCCATTTCATCCCAATGGGACCAGCTCACCTCATTTGTGTCAGAAGACACGTGCTATGGGTCCCATCTGCTAAGGCAGGGATCCACCACCTTTTTGATTCCATGGACTGGTGGTGCATCAGCGGTTTTGGCAGTGTGTGTGTGTGTGTATATAAATAGTTTCATGTGTGTACCCTAAATATCACACACAAACAGATGAAGGTTTGCACACTTGCCTGCTGTTTCGACAGCCCAGCTCCCAAGGGACCACAGCCTGGTAACAGTCCACTGCCCAGGGGTTGGGACCTCTATGATAAGGCATTCTGGAAGATGGGGCCAAGGACCTTTTTGCTTTGGCACGGACCCTGGGACTGCTCCCATCCTTGTGTCTTTTCGAAAAGGTGTTAAAAATTGGTTTTGCTACTTGACTTGGGACCATGAGGGAGGCACTCACCACTAGGAGTAATGGTTGACTGGGTAAGAAGATATCGTTCTCATCTCATCAATCTCCTTGGCTCTGATTTTCTACATAATTTAAAATATTAATGCACATAGTTTTAAATTTTTAATTGCTCTTTATCTATCTATTCATCCATCCATTTATTATCTATTTATCTGTATCCATCCATCTATCTAATCTATCTATCCATCCACCTCTATCTATTCTGTCCTATCTATCTACCTATCTATCAATCAATCTGTCTGTCTGTCCATCCATACGTCAATTTATCCATCGATCCATTGATTCATCTATCCATCCCTCCCTCCCTCTCTCTCTCTCTCTCTCTCTCTCAGCATTTTCAAGTCATCCAGAGTCACCCTATTGGGGAGATGGGAGGCATATAGATTTAATAGATAAACAAAGTATTAAACAAACGTTTCAATGCTGAAAAATATTGAATATCTAAAATTTTGAACAACCTTTGAGGAATCCAGTGAATAACTTTGCCAAAGAGTTTTAATGCTTGAAAAAGACTTTTACATTTCCATGATGTCTCCAGGTTATTACTAGATCAGTCTTCAAGAGGACAGTAATAAATATAGCTTTCACCATGCTGCTTTTCTGCTAAAAGTCTAGAAACATTTCAGAAGTTTCAGGAATTTCCACTGTGATGGAGGGTATGGAGCATTTCAAAGAGATTCACCAAATTCCCCTGAATATATCAAGTTATGTTATAGCAGCACCTGGGAGGGTTATGACAATTAGGATTGTTCTGTTTTAGCTTTTGAGTCACATTTAGTTTTTGTTTGCTGTTAGTTGCTCTTTTGTATTCAACTCAGGTCGTATCAAAATAATGTAGCATTTGGGGATGAAGATGCAACCCAGCAGGCCAGCATTGGATGCCAAGATGGCGAAGACCTGCACAGCAACCATGTACTTCCCCTTAGTGCTGAGATAGGTGGGCACAAAAGACACCCAAACACTGCAGAAGACCAGCATGCTGAAGGTGATCAACTTGGCTTCATTGAAGGCCCCAGGCAGATTTCTGGTCAGGAAAGCCACCATGAAGCAGATGGCAGCCAAGAAGCCCATGTATGAGAGGGCACCATAAAACATGGCAACAGAGCCTTCATTGCACTTCAGAACAATCTCCTCTGACTGGGAATACATGTCAGACTCAGGGAATGGGTGAGAAACCCCCAGCCAGATGGTACAGATGACAGCTTGGAGACCAGAGCCAGAAAGGACAATGGAGTTGGCTAGAGTCTTTCCCAGCCATCTCCTCACAGCATTCCCAGGTCTTGTAGCCAGGAAAG